TGGAACCTAACTACGTAAATTTCATCTTGATTCTTCATGAAAGATGAACGCATCCTTGTTTTCCCTCAAGAACGTAAGAGATCGATTTTATTTCTAATAAAGACCAAAAGCAAATTATTTCAATGCCACTGTTTTGAAAGGGGAAAGGGAGGGAAGCTGAAAGAGAAAGAAAAAGCCTCCATTCGTTCCCTCCCCACCCCACACAGAGGCTGAGAAAGAATACAGGCTCAGTTACCTGTACCGGTCTACTTCATTTTGTGAAATGTTATCTGAAACATGAATTTAGTTTCCAGTAGTAGAAATATTTTTTAGATTAACTGAATCTAACAAACCATTTTAGTATTAGCCGCTGTGTTTTGTCCAGCTGACTGGCAAATACATAAAAAACTGCTACCATCCAGGATTGGTAAAGGCAGGAAGAGCAGACAATCTTACATGAGGAATGGGTGTGACCTTCCTGGTAGACCATGATCAAAAACTCTTGTCCCCAGCAAAGCACTTTCACATGTAACTACTTACTGCACATGATGGATGGAACAAGTTACTACTTAGATGAATACTGTTAAAACACTAGGGTGATAACTGTTGACACTTTAAGACTAAGCCGTCCTTTGCACACCACACCCGTACGAGGCCCCGTGGCAGCTGTTGATGGGAGCTCTCTACAGGGTCCATGTGTAATCTGCTTCAGATTTATAATTAGCAGGACATTTCTAACAGGCTGGATTAGCAAGATCAGCTAGCTGATTTCTGCTCATGAAGTTGCTTGGCCATGAACTACTTTAAAATACTTCTTTATTAAAGGTAAGAACACAGACACCCCAACAGAAACACAGGTAAAACAATTCCCGAAAAAGGGAACATGGTAGTCTCCCATACAGTTTCTCTTTATGCTGTTTGTCACCTGCTGTCAACAGCAGTCCAAAAATAGTACATGGAAAATCCCAGAAATAAACAATTCATAAGTTTTCAATTGAGCACTGTTCTCAGTAGTGATGAAATCTCACACCATCCTGCTCCATCCTAGCCAGGAAGTTAATCAACCCTTTGTCCAGCAAATTCACGGCGTATACACTACTGCCCCCTTAGTCACTCAGTAGCTGTCTCATTTATCAGGTCAACAGATCACGAGAAAAAAAGGTGAGTATAGTACAGTGAGATCTTTTGAGAGAGACATAACACCCATATAACGTTTATTATAGTATGATGTTAAAATAATTCCATTTTGTCATTAGTTATTGCTGTTAATCACTTAATGTGGCTAACATATAAGTTAAACTTTATCATAGGTAAGTACATATGGGGAAAAGCAGTATATGTAAGGTCTGATACTATCTGAGGTTTCAGGCATCCATGGGGTGGGGGGGAGGGTCTTAGAATATATCCCCTGTAGATAAAGGGAATACTACATAATACAGCAAAACGAAGAAAAAAGAGGCCGGGCCTGGTGGCTCATGCCTGTAATTCCAGCACTCTGGAAGGCCAAGGTGGGAGGATCACTTGAGCACAGGAATTTGAGGCTAGCCTGGGCAAAAATGGGGACCCCGCCCTAAAAATAAAAGTGTTTACCTTCATCAATCATTTTTAAAGCATAACATTTAAAAAGCATAAAAGTTGAAATGAACTTCCATTTTCACCTATGAACTGACAATTTATTTGAATTAATAGCCAGTGTCAGCAAAAACAGTGATATAGACAACTTTCAACAACACAATCTGGGCTTACTGAGATGTGAACTAAATTGGTGCACATTTCCCAAAAAGTGATCTGATAATATCAATACAGTTAAAATATGAATACTTAGTAAGTAAAAAGTCAAACTAAAATTCAAACTGTTAAACAAGCAGTTCCACTTCTATCTATTCTCAAGAAATATTCAGAGAGGCATATCAAGATGCATTTATAAAAACATGCATGACATTATTTATATTAGCAAAAAATTGGAGGAAAAAACATGTCCAAGGAGAAATGATGAAATGATATGTACATGAGGTAATATCGTGCTATTAAAAATGGTTCAGAAAAAGTTTCAATAGCGAGGGGGAAGGCTCAGCAAAAGAAGCTGGAGTTAAACTCTGTGAAGCAGGATCCTAGCGATATAAATAAATTTCATAAATAATAAAATATACATTTTCCCATACATAGAAAACTGATCAAAAAATTTATTAGTTATCTCCAACTAGAAAACAAAACTCATTATTGACATTCAATACAGTAAGAGAAGAGCAAATCGATACAGACGTTGCTAAACTGATCATCAGACCAGAAAACCGTGGCGCGACCCGCCCGTATTTCAAGCTGGTGCGGGGCTCAGCCTTCGCAAACTGATAATCAGACCAGAAACCCGTGGCGCGACCCGCCCGTATTTCAAGCTGGTGCGGGGCTCAGCCTTCGCAGAGGCTTACTTTGACACGTGACAATGACAGCATCAGTTTGGCCTTGAATTGGTCTAAACTCACTATAAGACGCTGCCTCGTGAAGGGGGCAGCCAGGAACTGATCTACTCAGTGGTATTCATAAGAAGACAGAGGGAAGGAAAAGTGTAGGCAAGTAAGTACACACCCAGTTAAAACAACTCTGAGCGAGGGATCCCGCACCAGCGGCGAGAAGGACGGTGTGAAACCGTGGAGAAAGGAGACCGGCAGAGCCCCAGGCGTGCATGTAGTCCTCTCAGCACGGCCCTCCTCCCGCCTCCCGCCCCGACCGCCCGTGGCAGCACATTCACAAGAAGGGCGCCCAGCCCGCAGTCATCACTGCCTTTAAAAGAAAATCTCCCCTTTGCTTCCCTCTCAGCTGATTCGGAGGATTCCTACCATTCATTCCCCACTACAGTCAAGTATCAACACCCAGTAAAAACCGACAATTCTACATGTCAGTGTTGGCTCAGACAGGCAACTCCCTGCCCCACAGCCTTCGGCGGGGTCACTATTCTGGATCTCTGCTAGCTGCTCAGGGACCAGCCTCTGAGCTGGTAAAGAAGCAGAGATCATGAACTGCTTTCTCCCAACAACTGCTCTCTTTTTATTCCTAATAATTACTTTTCACCAAAGGATTAAAGGCATGTACCGTTTAGTTCTTCTTTAGAGACGTACCTACTGAAATACTTTCTCAAGGGTTCTGACCAAATCAATTTTATATAAAGACTTCAAAATTACCTGTAATTTAAGTCATTCAATGTTCATAACATTAAAATAATCTTGACTATCTGATACCTAAGAATTTTTACTACAGTTTTAGATTGTTTTAAATAATATATTCCCATGTTCTGGTTTCTGGACAAAACAAAACATTAAAGAAATTCTCAAAAACAATTTAGTTAAAACACTGTGTGAATTTTAAATGAGTCAGTGATGTATTAAACCGCTTTCCCTAAAAATAGGCAATTTTTTAAAAGTATATATGTGAATATTAGAATAAAAAATAAATGTGATTTTAAAAGAAAGTTCGCCATCTGAAAAAAATACATAGCTAACACCGTGAGTCTACCTTAACTTCCGCGGAGCTGCTGGAAACCGCACCCCGTGGGGGCTGGACGCTGCTGGGAGTGTGTGCGGACCATGACCGCACTGAGGGCTCACCTGGCATGTTTCTCAGGAGCTTTGCATTGCACATGTGTCCCTTCCGTATGTCGGTGAGAATGTATTCCATCCGCTTCGCCCTCCAGAGGAAGTTAAATACTCTTAGGTAGTGGCTCATACATTCTCGAGTAAACACCTGGGATAAGAGCAGAGGACGAGTTTATAGTATCCCCACAGAAGAATCCTCTCAGTACAGGTCTCAATCTTTTTTTTCAAAAGGTACATTTTAGCAAACTATCATAATGTAACAACCACACTGATGACTTCCATGCTAGGCAGCATGCTAAGCAAACTCACAGGAACAGAAAGCAGGGAAACAGAGGCCTAACGTTACACAACTTGCAAACAGTTTATCAGGATTTTCAATCCATTTTAGACTAGTCTAAGCCTAATCTAAAATGTGGACTCTTCACTACAGCTCCCCGCAACCCGCCTGAGGGATCCGTGAGGCAGGGGTGCACTTTCCTCTGTAACAGTAGCTCCTAAGGGTGGTGAATCTCATGGAAGGTAGGCCTAGAAGAATCTCCAGTCTGAAAAGAATCCTTCAGGTTATATTCACCGATTTACTTTTAGTTTGGGTTTTTGTGGGTTTTTTTTTTTGAAATAAGAGTCTCACTCTGTCACCCAGGCTGGAGTGCAATGGTGAGAGCTCGGCTCACTGCAACCTCAGCCTCCTAGGTTCAAGGGATTCTCATGCCTCAGCCTCCCGAGTAGCCAGGATTACAGGTGTGTGCCGCCATGCCCAGCTAATTTTTGTATTTTTCAAAAGAGATGTGTTTTTGCCATGTTAACCAGGCTGATCTCAAACTCCTGGCCTCAGGTGATAGATTTGCCTTTTTAAAATAAATCTATGATATAAACTTTTTTCCTTGAGTCCTTCTACTAAAGTAGAGCTTTGCAAACCTAAACATTTAACAATATTGCATGAGCAACTGTTTATGTACATGGCATGACACCTTTGACACTCTTAATAAGATCTGTAATACTATGAAATAATTAATTATCTCTTCTCTAGGCAACGTTCAGTTTACCTATTTGTCAAGGCACTCAGACTTTCTGAAATAATC